AGGCTGTAAATTGCACGGTTCAAAATGAAGGGAGTGTGTTAGAGATGCTTTCTGTCTCCATACCGTTTCAATCTGTACGCGGGACAGTCATTCGGGAGGCTGGGCTTTATTAGGAGTGTGGCATCAGGATTGGAGGAAGATTCATCAACAACCTGAGTGATGCAGATGGTACAACTTGAAGCGTTTGCTGCAGAAGGTCAAAAACTAGTCTTCAATATGGATTGAAGCTTAACATCAGTAAGATAAAAGAGTCTCACAACTGGGCCAACTGGCAGCACCATGATGAATGGAGAAAAGATTGAGGTTAACATTTTCAGCTTGCTCAGGTCCACAATCAACACTCTTGGCACTTGGCACCAGCAGCCAGGAAATTAAACGATGAATTGCACTGGGGAAGTCTGCTGTTAGGGACCTCTCCAAAAGGCTAAAGAGTAATGATGTCAGTGTAGAGACTAAGGTGTGCCTACCTCATCTAGGCCATGGTCTTCGCAATTACTTGCTATGCATCAGAGAGTTGGACAATGACTAAGAATGAGAGAAGAGTTGCTGCCTTTGAATTGTGATGCTGGAGAAGAGTCTTGAAAATACCATAGATCACCAGGAGAACAAATAGGTCTATCCTAGAGAGGATGAAACCAAGTTTCTCCTTGAAGACAAGGATTTTTACGTTCCATCACACATACTTTGGGCATGTTGCCAGGAAGGTCAAGTCCTTGGAGAAGGAAACCCTATTAGGAAAAGTGGAGGGATTGTGCAGGAGAAGACCCCCAGATGATATGGACTGACACGGTAACTGAGACAATAGGATTAGGTTTGTCAGAGTCAGTGAGACTGGCTCAGGACAGGGCAGGGTTCCGAGCTATTGTACACAGGGTCACTATAAGTCACAGGTGACTCAATGGCACATAACAACAAATCACACAGGAGGAGACTCCCTATCTTCCTCATGTGGAGCAGCTGGTGGATTCAAACAGGAGACATTTGGGTTGGCAGTGCAATTCCTTACCACTAAGCCACCAGAGCTTCATGAAGAAGTGATAAGGGCCAGAAAGGTGGACAGGACCAGATCAAAACACTGCATTGGTTGCTTTTGGGCTTCAGTGATTGAAGGGAAGGGCCAATCAGCCAGGTATGAGGCGACCAGCCGGGCTGATCTGGGGAGAGGAGCACTCGGACTGTGCTGTGTGGCTGGCCAGCAGCGTGAGGGACAGATGGCTGTGTCTCTCCCATCCCTGACCAGGAAGCTGCAGGAATCTCTCCCGTAGAAATAAAGTCACCATGGC